CAGTCTGGAAGTCATTCGGGCTGTAGGACCCCAGCTGATTGGAATTGGAAAGCACAGTGCGGTAAGTAGGGTGCTGGGACTGAAAAGATTGCACCGAGATGGGTAGGATGATGACATCACACTCAAAAGGTGTGAGCTGGCAGTGTCCTGGGGGGGCTGAGGGGAGAGCTTACCGACGGGAGACCTAGGCCTTCAAGCAAGAGATGTTCTCCACTGCGGTGTCCCACGTGCAGGCTGCTGAGCTCTATCTGAACCTGGACCTTGTCAAGGAGGCGATCGATGCTTTTATTGAGGGTGAAGAGTGGAACAAGGCCAAGCGTGTGGCTAAGGAGTTAGATCCTCGGTAAAGTTTGGACTCCTCTCTCTGGGACATCCTCTTTGACTTCTTTTTGTAAAGATGGAGAGAAAGTTCTGAACCTCAAAGCTAGAGATCTCTGTGCACCTTCACAGGTATGAAGACTATGTGGACCAGCATTATAAGGGTTTCCTCAAGAGCCAGGGCAAAGTGGACTCGGTGAGACTTGCAGAGTTGGTGGGAAGCAGAGTTCAGGAAGAAGGCTGGGGTGAAACTCAGTGGCAGTGCTTGCTTAGCATGCGGGATCCCTAGCACCATGAAACAACAGTAAAAGCAGAACGCAGAGAGCGGTACTAGATTCTGACTCCCCCTGGGGTCATCTCTCTCCTCTTGAGCTATGTCCTTTCCACCAATCCATAGCTGGTGGGTGTGGATGTGGTAGCTGCTTTGGACCTGTATGCGGAGCAGGGCCAGTGGGACAAGTGCATTGAAACAGCTACCAAGCAGGTACTGCTCTCCAACCCCACGCCCTCTGTGCATGTGCCCTTGATTCCCCCTTTTGCTCCGGAGCTGCCTCTCTCACCCCAACCAGGTCCTAGCCCCCAGAGACCCCCAGTGAGCCTCAGAGCTCAGCCCTTCACCCTCCCCCATGACCTGGTCCTCCAGATTCCTACCTGGGCCATGCTTTTCCTCCCCATACCACAGAACTACAAGATACTGCACAAGTATGTGGCTTTGTATGCTACTCACCTGATCCGAGAGGGCGGCTACGCCCAGGCACTGGCCCTCTATGTGCAGCACGGAGCCCCTGCTAACCCACAGGTACCAGTCTCCTCCTTGGCCTGAGTGTTTCCACCGGGTCACTCTTTCTTCCTCGTCTAGAGCCCCTCATCCCTCAAGGAACTGCCGATCCCTTGATAGCCTCATGCCTATGTCCCCACCCAGCCTCTCTAGCAGGATTACCATTTGAAAAAATACCTATGCTATGATACCTAGGGACCTGTCTTCCAGAGAAGAATCCCACGCACACCCATCAAGGGCTTTAACAGCATTCTCTAGAGAACAAACTGCTCTCCTATCAGAAAATTACACCTTGGTGCCACCACCTACCTTACAAGTACAAGGTCCCAAGTTTGATCCCTGGTACCAGGAAGAAAAAAAAAAAAATAGAACAAGAAAATCACAGCTCTTTGAAATATCAGCCATTAACACTGCCTGCATTCACATTCATACATTTGCCCCCACTCACAAAGTACCATCCAGGAAGATTAGTTATTCTCTTACTCATTTCTCTTCTCTAAAAATAATCGAAATTAATAAAATTAAAATAATATGCCGGGTGTGGTGGAGCACACCTGTAATCCTAGCACTCAGGAGGTTGAGGCAGGAGGATCGCTGTGAGTTTGAGACCAGCCTGGGCTACATAGTGAGTTCCAGGTCAGTCTCAACTACATAGTGAGACCCTATCTCAAAAAAACAAACAAACAAAGAAAACACAGCAATTTAGGGCTGGGGATTTAGCTCAGTGGTTCTGCTGCCTGCCTTGCAAGCACAAGGACCCGAGTTCGATCTCTGGTACCAAAAAACAAAAAACCCCGGCACTTTCTCTGTCATGTTCCCTGGCTCCTACACACACACAGCCTGTTTCTCCTCGCTCTGACCCGTGTCCACTGACTCACTTCTGCTTACACCCTTCAGCCAGATCCCCTACCCCTGTCTCTAGAACTTCAATATCTACAAGCGGATCTTCACTGACATGGTCGGCTCTCCTGGGACCAACAGTGCCGAGGCCTATCACAGTTGGGCGGACCTTCGGGACGTGCTCTTCAATCTGGTGAGGAGGCTGGCTGGCTTGCCAGGAAAGGGTTCCCCTGCCTTCCCTTCCCTTCCCTCTCTCCCCTCATGCCCTAGCCTGTGTCCAGGGGGCCATCAGTGCCCACTTCCTAGCCCTGGCTCATCCCGCCTCTGAGCCAGACTGTGTTCTCGTCCCTCTCTAGTGCGAAAACCTAGTGAAGTCCAGTGAGGCGAACTCCCCCGCCCACGAGGAGTTTGAGACAATGCTGCTGATTGCTCATTACTATGCCTCTCGCTCTGCAGCCCAGAGCGTCAAACAGCTGGTGAGATGGCGGGGATGCATGGCCCTGGGCCTAAGGACACACCTACAAACTCGAAGTTAAAGGTTCTGGGCTTTTGGGTTTAGGCTCTTGGACCTCCTCACTTTTCATCAGTCTGAATCAGGCTTCAACCCTTGCTGAGACAGGTTTTCCTTCTATGCTGCTTTGACCTTTTTTTTGTTTTATTTTGTTTTTGTTCTTTGACACAGGGTCGCACTATTTTAGCCCAGGATAGCCCCAAACTTGTGATCCTCCTGCCTCGGCCTCCTGAGTGCTAGGATTATAGGTGTGCACCACCATGTCCAGCTTGCTTTGACCTTTGGAGTTGTCTGCCCACACAGCTGCAGCACCTTATTATATTTAGTTTATTTTTACTTTTCTGGGCCGGTGATTTAGCTCAGTGGTTCTGGGTTTTGTTTTTGTTTTTTTTGGGGGGGCACTGGGGATCAAACTTGGGTCTTTGCGCTTGCGCTGGAACCACTGAGCGAAATCCCCAGCCCAAGAATGGATGTTTTTATTTATTTATTTTGCAGTGCTGGTGATCGAACCCAGGGCCTTGCATATGCTAGCCCAGTGCTGTACACTAAGCTAGCCCTGTCTCATAATTTAAGCATTTGAATCCCATGATTTCTTTATTCATCTCCTATAACACACTCTTTTTGTAGCACTTGGGATTGAGGCCAGGGCCTTTACACTGACCTACATCCCCAGCCTTTTTCTTTTACTTTGTTTTTTGTTTTCTTTGAGACAGGGTCTCACGAAAATGTCCAGACTGGGTTCAAACTTATATCCTCCTGCCTCAGCCTCCCAGGGTGCCAGGATTATAGGCATAAACCCCCTACACACACCAGTTTAATATTGATTGTTTCCTAATTCTATGGCTGCTTTCATTATAGAATCATTGGTCTGGGGCCTGCCTTGCAAGCACAAGGTCCCAAGTTTGATCCCCAATACAAAAAAAAAAAAGAGAGAAAGAATCATTGGTCTGTTAGCTGTAATGCCAGGATCGCAAAGCTTTACCTTTACTCCTCAGGAAACTGTGGCTGCCAGACTTTCTGTTTCGCTTTTGCGTCACACCCAGCTACTACCTGCAGACAAGGCCTTCTATGAAGCTGGCACTGCCGCCAAGGTGAATGGAACAGGAAGGGTGGGGCTGAAGAGATACAGAAATCCAGTTGAAGACAAGGAATATCTGGAGCAAAGCTGATTGTGGGGCTGATGTATGGAAGGTGAAATGGTCCAGAATCTCTGCCTGCCACCTGCAGAAGCAGCACCAAGCTCAGCTTGCACACGTGCATTTGCAACTTTTCTCATTCGCAGGCTGTCGGTTGGGAGAACATGGCCTTCATCTTCCTCAACCACTTTTTGGATCTGACCGACGTGAGTAGGGAAGTTGTGCCCAGAGGTTAGGTTTTGCCTGTCACAGGCTGTGCGGGTCTCATGGTTATCCACTGTGCTGCAGGCAATTGAAGAAGGCACCCTGGATGCCCTTGACCACTCGGATTTTCAGGATACAGACATTCCCTTTGAGGTGTCCCTCCCAGCCAAGCAGCACGTACCCGTAAGTGTGTGGGGTCGAATGGCAAGGCCTCACCAGAGGGAGTGCTTTGGGAAGAGAGGCTCGGGCTGCAGTCTTTGCGGGGACCTCACTGCTCCTTAAGTGAAATCAAAGCGGTGACTGTTTCCCCCAGCGCAGAGCAGATCATCAGGGCCAAAAGCTAATGTACAGGATGAGGGCTTAGCACACTCCCTCCCCCACCCGCCCTGCCCTGTGTGAAGCTGCTGCTCCCTCTGCTTCCCAGGAGGCCCAGAGAGAAGAGGTTCGAGACTGGGTGCTCACAGTCTCGATGGACCAGCGGCTGGAGCAGGTTCTGCCTCAGGACGAGCGTGGCACCTATGAGGCTTCCCTGGTGGCAGTGAGCACTGGAGTTCGGGCATTGCCCTGCCTCATCACAGGTAGGAAACCCCGCCGCGCAGCACCCACACACATCCCATGTAATTTAGTCAAGGGTGCACAAGGCAGGGAATCATTGTATCCCACGCTGCTCTTCTTTTGTTTTACACCCTCAGTCTGTCTCAGACCCTTGTTCTTTTTCTCTTCCCATCAGGTTACCCCATTCTGAGGAACAAAATCGAGTTTAAGCGACCAGGGAAGGCTGCTGACAAGGACAACTGGAATAAGTTCCTTATGGCCATCAAGGTTAGAGAGGGCAATGTGAGGGCTAAGGTCAGGGAGCAGAACATGGGAGGGCACTGGAAGGGTGGCTGGGATCGTCCAGAAGCAGGTGCAGGCCTGCAGTGGACTGAGTCCTCTGCGCCAGCTCTGAGGGGCTCCTCTTGGGCTCTTCCCTTGGTTCACAGACCTCCCACAGCCCGGTGTGCCAGGACGTGCTGAAATTCATCAGTCAGTGGTGTGGAGGGCTCCCCAGCACCAGCTTCTCCTTTCAGTGACTGGGAGAGCTGAGGAAGAGTTTGAGCCTCTCCATTAAAGTTCTGTTAACTAACTGAAACCATGGTGTTCTCTGATCACAGCCAACTGCAACACCAACACAGCGCCCTCCCCCTCCCCAAAGAACTGTAATCACATAAAAGAACAAAAGAAATTGTTTTATTACGATTATTTGTGTCATCCTAGAATCGGGGACCCTGGCTTAGTGGAAAAACACTTGTGGTCTAAGCCATGGAACAGTCCTTGCTGATAAAAGAAGAACCCATCTGGGTCTGAGGGGGAAGCAGCAGAGCAAAGAACCAGCTGTAAACCAGGCCTAGTGGCGCATTGTCTATAATCCCAGGACTCTGGGAGGCTGAGGCGGGAGGATCACAGATTGGAATCAACCCTGGGTGACTTGGTGATTTAGCAAGACCCTGTGTTTTAAAAAGAAAAGGGGGATGGGTGTAGCTCAGTGTGAAGGCCCTGGGTTTAATCTCCAGTGCACACAAACACACAAGAACCGGCCACAGTCCCAGGAATGCTTCCCTGCCCCCATTCCAACCCTGACCCTCACCCTCAGGGCCCTTCACCTGTCCTAAACCCAGGTTTTCTGCGATGCCTGGATTTCACGATGTTGATCCAGAAGCTTCACATTTTCCTGCCATTTACATTTGGGAGGTTCCAGCTCCGTCAGTTCCTCTAGCTACAGAAGAGTGGAGTTAGCACCCTGCCCTAAATGGCACATCAGCTCCTTTTCAACACAGCCAGACTGCTCCTCTTCCTCACCTGGCCCTGAAAGTCTTCCTTCTTGCAGGGCCCAACTCCCCGAAGGGTGAGCGCAGCCACACAGCAGTAACCAGACAGAGCAGCCTCAGCCGCAGACATGAGCAGGGAAGGGATCCAGAAAGCCAAGGCTGTACCCTGAAGGTGAAAAGGATAGGGGCCTGACAGGGACTGGGACAGAGAAACAAAAGTACAAGAGAAATGAGAAGGGTGGTGCGCGGCTTTGTGGAAAGCAAGAAGGAAGAGACAGGCTTACGAAGATTCTCGTGGTATCAAAGGGGCAGTCGGTGTGCCCAGGCCCCCGATCCAGCGGGATGGAAGGATCCAGCAGTCCTGGATGGCAGTCCGCAATAAGTCGGCGGCCACCGCTGGCCACAGTGAGTGACACAGCTAGGAGGAGGCCCACGGAGCAGGCAGCAGACACGAGCAGGTTGGCCAGGGCCAGGGCCAGCAGGGCCCAGTGCTGGCGGGGCAGAAGACCAGGTTGAGATGCCTGGGCCTCCAGGTCTCGCTAGGGCCCTGGGTTTCTCCGTTTGAGGCTCCTGAGACACCCGCCCCACGCGCCGGGAGACCCCTCTCACCAGTGGCGGGCGAAGTAGATTCTTGGAGGCCAAGAGGGCCACCAGTCCCAGGGAAACGCTCTGCGGAAGACATCGAGCCTTTGGCCCCTGTCTGTAGGCGTCCCCG